GTGAAAATCGCGCACACTAATAGGCTGAATTTGAAATTTTTTGGTAGTATTTTATAGGGAACATCCCCTTAAATTTTCAGCTTTTTAGCTTTTCTAGTTCCGGAGTTAGCAAATTTTACGCCAAATTTTTCACGTGTCCGTACATGAGACTAGGATATATTAAGGAACTGAATTTGAGATGTTTTGGTTGTACGCGAGCAGAGAACATCCGCTTAAAATTTCAGCTTCTAGTTTTTCTCATTCCCGAGTTACACATATATACACACACAACACAGACATACACACACAACCACATACAGAGAGGAACGTGCCAGGATGCGTTTTGTGCGTTTTTTGATCAAGGGGGTTAAAAATAGTATTTAAAATAATTAGCATTCTAAGTACTACTGTTTTAATATTGCCGGTCAAAAAACGTAGTCAAATTAAATTTTTATCAGAGAACCTTTTTTCTCGTGAAAAACGCGGTAGACTTCTTGTGTTTCCCACCCCGAAACAGCGCAATTCAGAGCAAAGCAGTGCTTAGATGAAATTCGAAACCGTGCTGCGCGTAGCTACAGAAAGCTATTTTCTTTTGCCTTACAAAAAATGCTGGAAGTGTGCGAGAAAAGGGGAAAAGTGAATTTACAGAGTCGTCTTTAGGGCGGTCTGCGAAGGTTTTGCAGGTACGCCCACAAGATTCCAGTCTTCGGTATAACAGATACGAGTGAGACCCCAGCTGTTGCGTTCCTCTGATGCTCGCTGCTGGCAGACTTGGAGTCGAGAAAGAATAGGCTCGCGCATTCAGTTTGAGCTGGTGTTAACCTAAAGCGATTACCAGTAATTACTTTTTCGCGTGTGATAAAGCAGTAGGCCTGCAATTCTCCTGAAAAGCATTTTATGCAATTCCTTCCTTTTGTTGAGACTTTTTTGGGCTGAAAATTTGTCAGTTGAATGGATGATGTCATTGTGGGCGTCTGAGGAATTGCGGATGCTTTCACTTTCAGCTCTCTGTCCTCCAGCTTTATGAAAAAAGTCATGAGCTTTTAATGGGCTTCGTTTACACTTTGTGTTTTTTGACTGCTCTGCAGGATCAGTGCTCACGTTTTTTATTATTTTTTCTAAATGCAGGGTTTTCGCAGGAGCATTCACTGCCCAAATGACAACTCTGCTACTGAGATCGAAACAATTCTTACGTGGTTGAGACGCAGCCACACACTGAGCAGCACCTCCATCAGATACTCTGGTTGCGTGCTATCTGCCTCCAGTTAATTTCCAATATTCTCACCGTAAGGTCGCATCTTTTCTTTAGGCGCTGCCCAAGAGGTTACATTCGAGCTCTGTCAAAACATCGTGGTTCTCACGTGCGGGCAATAAATTTTTGGTGAAAGAAATGTTCACTGAACAGCTAGGTCACTTTCAAATCCAGGCTGGGACGCACCAGACGAGCTGGTGCGATCATGCGTTTTTGCTCCATTTCGTGCTGCAGCAAGATCATAGGGTATCATGGTAGCTAAAATTTGCTACATACTAGCCTTTGAAGTTCAAGAAGTTAACTGTACAACTACGTGGCATGTCAGTTGTAGATGCCGGCTTCAGTGTCCCGAGAAATGAAAGGTTGCTGGTGCGCAAAACAGACCCCCCTGGAAGAGCTAAATTTGAAATCTTTTGGGTTGCACATGAGTAAGGAAAATTCCGTCAATATTCCAGCATTTCAGCTTTTCTCATACCCGAGTTAACAATTTTTCTGTCAAAAAAATTTTCACGTGCCTGTACGTGGAACATGGGCGGTTCTGAGGAACTAAATTTGAAGGCTTTTAGTTGTATATATGGGTAGGGAAAGTTACCTTAAAATTCCAGCCTTCTACCTTTTCTCGTCCCCGAGTTACAAATTTCTCAGCCAAAATTTTCACGCGGCTGTATGTGACTCCCGGGCGGTTCTAAGGGACTGAATTTGAAGCCCTTTGGTCTTACATGAGTACTGAACATTGCCCTAAGGTTTCAGCCTTCTAGCTTTTCTCGTTCTCAAGTCAGCAATTTTCCTGCCAAAATTTTTGCCCGCTCGCACGTGGGAACTAAAACATGCATAAGGACTGGTATCGCCGTCCTGGGATGGCACTTGGCCGAGGAGAGCTTGCCTAGTTGCCTAGTTAAAATACCCGGACAGACGAACATAAACACAGACAGGATCGTCGCAATATGCGTTTTTGCAATTTGCGTATATGCAAAAACGCATAAAATCCACTGTTTAACGGAAAATGTTCATTTGCTTTTATGTAAAAAATATAATTTACGCTAATGAATGGTTACTATTTTACACTCACATAAAATAATTGTAAAGTAACAACCATTCATGCAGTTAATGATCTGATTGCTTCAAGTTTAGTGTAAGAACAAATAATCACAGCAGCAAGCCTGATGCGATCCACTCTGGAGCTTGCTTACAGGCTGCGCTTTGGCTTCAAGTATTGATGTTTATTTATCAATCAGAAATCTGTAACAAGTTGTTCTTGTTTCGATAAGCTCTCTTCACTGCGTATTGCTGTAAGCGGGGAGTTCGAATTTTTGCTTTTATTCTTTTAACTGAAGCTCTCGCATCTAAAAGTATAACCTCTGAATTTCTATCGCTGTATGTGTCGAAGACAGTCGGAAATATCTAGCGCTATCAGATACCTCAGTTGCAACTTCTGGTCAAGTTGTCGGTGGCCTTTCTTTCAGTGTTTTACATAACACACGTTCTACTTTCCTAGCACGCATGAGTGACAGCCTATCATAAAAATTATTTAATCTTAAATAAGTAATTGAAAGAATATGGTTCAATTTTTAGCGCATGTTCTTGTCATAAATTCAGATTTCATATCTATCTATTAACGAATTTTGGATAGATAACAGCTTTATCACATGCCCAAACTCCACGGAGAACCAAAATATGACGTAAAAGCAGCCGTAGTATTATGAAATATGAAATCCCCATTCTTCAGTGCTAGTATGTGCGTACTTTTTTATTGACGTGGATTGTTCATCTAGTGAGAGGATTAGGACTTTCGACCTGAATCATGGCTAACTTCTGTAATGAAATATACATTTTATTTTCCTCCTGTGAGCTTTTTGCTACCTAGATCTCACCAAAAGATTTTACTGTCAATTCTACCAAAAAAATTCTCCTACGGTCGGGATAGGTAACAATGTAACCGTACAGTCGCGAAGAAAGGAAATGCTTCAAAAGAAATTTTTAAAGTTGCTATTTTCAAGGAAAGTACGATGAAATGTTTTGCTAAAAAGCCAAAACTTTTCAATACCGTACATCATATCTTCTGCGAAATAAGCTGTTAACTGTTATTTATTATTATTTAGTTTAATATTTTATCTTGATACTATGGCTTACATCATTGCTGTTCTCCTTGGAACTGATGCAGCTAGTTGTTTCTCATTTCATCCCTCTTCTAACTGTCCCATCATGGAACGGCACAAACATACATGAAAGACTCACTTTGTTTCGCTTCGCTTTACCAAATGATTGTTCATCGCTTCTTGGGTATCATTCATCTGTCTGTTCTCTCTCACTGGCGTAGCTACTCTTTCTGGCGCAAGTTATTGAATAAAAGTATTCTTCAGTGTGCTGCTTCAAAAAAAAATGATGCAAAAGGTGCTTTCTAAAAAAAACCCGTCCTGGCTATACCCAACTGGTATCCGGTATGCTCTCAAATGTTAGTTAGACTGCAGTTCTGTGTCAATAACAAGCACTTAAACCAGTACTGAGGAAATATGAATGTAGACCTAGGGAGTTTTATCGTTTTGCAGGAAGTTGGCCAGCAGCAACTGATGGATAACTTGCTTCGGAGTCAGTATCGACGTGCGACGCATGCCAGCGTGGATTATCCTAGTCCGCCTCGGCAACCGCGGAAACGCTATTCACAGCCACAAATGTCTGCTGAAGTTGGTGATGAGTTATATCGTGCGAAAGCTGCCGTTGCTCGAAAGCGATCCTTACCACGTCCGCCTACTGCACTGTAGGTTTTACTTTTACTTAATTAAAATTTTCCGAACAAAGGCTATTTCAGGCAATAAGTTGTGCCACGGCAAAAGACCCACTGTGTGTGTGTTCTAATCCGAGAACATTAAGCAACGTGGAGGATTCCTCACCCTCCACTGTTTGTAGGAATTTCGAAGATGCCTAAGTGACAGAAAAAGAACAAGGAATTTACGCTGAGAGGTATAAAATACAGGGACACAAAAGTTAAACAAATACGCAGAAAACCAGGAAAAGGTATGGAAAAATTAACTAACAAATGCAATGGGCTCAGGAGAACAGCAGAAGTTTTAAATGAACATAAAAAACGACATGTTAAGAAAATGGCATATACTGTAACAGTTGATTGGCGAATCAGACTTTTTGACAACGACAGCAATTATCGAAATCCTGGGAAGTAATTGTAAGAAATTCGTGAAAACTGAGGCCTGTCATGTCTAGAAATGAAAAAATCCTGCCATTCACTGTTTATCTCTCAACTAGAAGATGGCGGAAGCCGGGCTGCTCCTGTTTTGCTTACTACTTTAGAACCTCACTATCAAATGCAGAAAAAAGAAACGATAAATTTGGCAAGAATGTTACACTGAGCTTATTGGTTGCAAACCTTAATAAATGATCTGTTGGAAAATACTTCAAGATTAAAGTTGTTTACAGCCTCTTTTATTAGGCACAAAATTCGTTAAGTAGTAAATGTTAAAACATGGGACTAAGACGCCATATTTGGAATGGACATACTTCTTTGAGTTCTGAAAATGTCCTTAGATTTATATCCTTAGATGTATGAGAAATATTAGGGTCAGAGTTTGGCCAAACTTAAAGGATACAGCTAGCACTGTCATCGATTTCTCTAAACAATCAAACAACGCTATTAAAGAAACCAAAAGATTTTTTCTTCACAGCAGAAAGAGGAAATAGATAGGAGGATCGTGAACCCTGTTCACTAGAAAAAAAGAAATAAAAAATAGAATTTTTTTTAGTCTTTGAATATTGTCGGTCTTTACAATAAAAATCGAAATCTTATATTCTCAAAATCAATAATATCTGGGAATTTTTACTTACAGCCTCAGTCCTTTATCTCTTACTTATTACAGCCTCAGTTTTTTTCTCCTAAAAATAAATCGCTCTTAACCCTGCGTAGACTCTTGTAGCCATCTCACTAAGTCGAGGAATTTGAGAACTGCACACCGAAGAAGGAAATTACAGTTGTTCAAAGTTCCGAAGTATAGTCAAAAGCAGAATATCCACTCTGTACAGAAAGCACCATACCAGAACACAAATGGTGTCAAATCGTTTGCTGGTAAAAAAAACTGTAGCTTGGGTTATTTGAAATTTCTTTTTGATTTATGCATATAGTTAAAAAGATTGAATTTTTTTACACTATTTAAGTCGCAGTTTTTGTAGGCACGAAAGTTTTTTTTCTAGAAATTTATTTTCTTTATTGAAATCGCATCTAAATATGCTTCCGTGTGTCATTCATCAAAAGCCCGTTTCAGCTTTGACTGATTCGCATGCCACAACGTACTTCGTTTCCTCGCCATTTTCCATCATCTTTGCATTTCTTATGTCAAATCCGTTGCAAATATCCTTCATCTTTCCATTGAATTTTCTCCTTCAGTTGATTTTTTGAGGTGAAAAAAAGTGAAAATTGATTTGATTCGAAAATGAAGGGAGATGAAAATGCTTCTACTATTCAACAGTTTCGCGTTGTGCAAATATACCAGCACATGTTTAGTTTTCATTTCAGTTACCGCAGCGCACTAGGATTGCCAACGCGTTTTGCAAGGTCCCACTCTGCAGAGAGATCCTCTGTACTACTGAGGTGTACAGTTTAATCTGCGGTGGGGCAATTTAATCATTTTGTACTCAAGACCCATGTCTATGCAGAAGCTCATTTTACGTTTGGAGGTCCGCACACGGGCAGAAAACATCCTCGGAAAAAATGTCGCTTCCTCTTCATTCTGGTTGCCGAGTTATTAGGATGCTAACAATGTCCGGAACTAAAATTCACTTGAGCAAATGACAACAATAAAACGGGGGGTTCACACTCGAGGTGTGCAGTTGTTCCAGAAGTTTCAATTTCCTGGGTGCTTTGATTCTCGAGTTGAACGTGGGTGGAAAAAGCGCGCACGCACAGGCACAAGCACGCATAGACAGACGCACATACAACCTCTTGACAATATGCGCTTTTGAGTTTACATAATATGCAAGAACGCACAAAAATCGGGCTTGATGCTTCTTTTCAATTTACTTCCAAACAACAGAGGGCTCGCAACACAATATCCCAGTAATATAGCAGTAACCATAAATTTGGGTTTAAATTCAACCGGCCAGCTATTAGTCATTCATTTCAACGTACTTTTGCGCCAAAGTTGCACATGAAAATGTTTTTGTTGCATATAGAGTGGATGGATACTGCTGCAATAACTATAGGTGAATTAAAATTTTCATATTTCACTCTGTGTGACAGGCAAAATATTCGGGCCAGCAGCATATTTCCAGCCGCTGGCTAAGCCAGCTGTGGTTTTTTCTCTGAAGAGTTGCTTAGAAGTAAACTGATTAATTCCAATTTACTATGGAAACGAATCAATTAAACGGTGAAGGGATCGATTAATCTTTTTGCCGAATTGAAACACTGACTTTATCTTTGAAGAAGTGTAATTGGCTGCTACATGCCTGCACTAAAAAATAGTATTGTCTACTAAATCTCGCATTCGTTGCTTCATTAATTAGATTTTCCATTTCTTATCGTTGATTAGAGAAGTATTTCCCAGCTGATTTTGAAAACCATCTAAATTTGCCTCCACCCTCACTAAAGAGTCTGGAAAAATCTCTGGGCACGCCACTGTTCCTAGGTCAACAAATATACTCGTACAAATCGGCTTCATCTGGAAAATGGAGAGCTTATATTGTCAGTGACTGGTCTGCCACTTTTCTTCCTTTTTGTTTTGCTTAAACGACGGACTAGCTGCTAGTTAAAAGACATTTAGTATTTACAGAAGCAGAAGCGGTAAGAGATATACTTCTTGAAATTTTTTTCATTTAAGACGTTTTGAATGCCCATGAGCTATTTCAAACTTACAGTGGCTTTCTAAGCCATTCCCTTGATGGTGCTGGGATGCGGGAGAATGGAGTGGAACAGAGAAGAAAAAATGGATTGGTGCATTTTGAGTGCTGCATTTCAATAACGATTTTCTGACGACATATATGTGATACTTTCACCAAGCTATTACCAAAAACCTGCTTCTTCCTCCGAATTATTCGATTCACAAGCTTAAAAATCTCATGGTTATTATTCGGAGATTTCCAATTACTACCATTAAAAATGCCAAAGCGACAAGCACTATAAAAGCGCCTATTAGCATGAAACGTCAGAAACCAGAAATATCAATAGCATCCTGCATTTTCTTACGTGATTTTGCATTCACTGCAGTTTACACTCACTGCGTGCACCGGTGTGCATGCCATCGGTGTAAATTAAATTAGTTTCTCCTCATTCTCTGCCACCCTTTTCTTTCTGTTCACTTTGGAAAACACTACTATCAAATACAAAACCACAGTTTGCAGCTATCATAGTACCAACTGGAAAATGCGGTGGCCCTACCCTATAGTTTTTTGGAAAGGCTTGCTAAGACCTTTCAGTAGTAGTGTACCTGAAAAATGAGGGAGCTGAGGGATGAGGTGATGATTGAACAACAGTATCGGAGTTTCGCGTTTTACGATACACATCATAGTTCGCCATTTTTATGCATTTTTGCTGCGCAACATTACAACGCTGCTACAGCGAGCAAACCGCATGTTGTCGAAAGGGTTGCCCCTGTGTGTATATATGTGTGTGTGTTCGAAAGCGAGTGAACTTTGCCACCCACTTTCAGCCCAGCAACCAGGAAAGCTGGGAGGTTAACACGGCTCGAAAATTCGGCTCAGTCAGGTCCGCACATGGTCTGTTGCCGTTTTTTTCGTGTGCCCTTACCCCGTTACGACATAAAACACTCGGTGCCACGGATGGGATGGTAGTGGAGGAGGCTTCGGGCGCGAGGTCCGGGCGCGGGATTGGAGGTAGGGGAGGGGATTAGTAAAGTGGATTGGGTAGTAATTTTGCGTGCCCACGTAGTAGGGAGGGGGCGATGGGCGGAAGGGAGGAGGAACCGTGCTGCTGGTTTTTGCCACGAATACGCGGGTACGGAAAGAGTTTGGGAGGAGGGTACACTGCAGAGGACTTTAAGTTAACTGAGTCACATATGGGATATGAACATCATGAAATTTCAGCTTCTTCGCTGCTCTGATTGCTGGCTTGAAAGTAGGTGATAAAAATCCGAACACAAACCGACAGACGGATAGACAGGCACACACACACACACACACACA